GAATAAGAAACTGAAGCTTGCTTCCTGGGGGCAGAAGCCGGGCAAGATCTTTGGAAACACTGAAATTAGATTAGGCAAGGATGCAGAAGGGAAATGTTTCGGCTGCTTTCAGACTTCTGAAGATGACTCAGAAATGGCTAACACTGAACAGTTTGCCAGGAGACTTGGATTTGTTTTTGATTTTTGACCTCAGTGAATGAAGAATCTATAGTATGAAGTCTATCTCCTTGTTAGGTATCTCAGAAGTTAAAAACCTTTAAGCTTCTCCATAGTTTTTTTTTTAATCCTCACCCAAGGATATGTTTTTATTGATTTTAGAGGGGGAAGAAAGGAACATAGATCGGTTACAAAATCAAAAAGAAAGGGATTTGAGTATAATTAGCAAAAGCCCTCAAGTTGGTCATAAAGCAATTAAGAATCAAGCCTAAATATTAACATAAAAAGTATGCCTAGTAGCAGCTGGAGAAAATAAATTTTATTAGCATGCATCTGATACTGTCCTAGAGTAAAGGTATAATATTTCTGGTCTTAAATGATCTTTCTTAGAACAGGAAGGTCAAATGATAATTTTTAGAGAAATATTTAAAATATGTTTTATTTTTTAAAAAAGGCCTGAGCTTTGAAAGAAGCAGCCTATGTCAGCAGATGAGGAGACAAGCCCCCCGTCTCTCTCGGATGATTTCCATAAAAGCCTTTACAGTAGCGGGGCCTTCGGAAGCACAGAGTCAAGGGAGAAAGGGAGTGCCTTCTATCAGATGGGCAAAAATTCCCAAGTAATAGAAGCCACCAATGGCCAGGGAGCCAGGAAACTTACCTGCACTGTTGATACCTTCTAAGTTGTATCAGCTTTCCTGGAGGGCCTCTTAGCAACAGGTATCAAAAACATTTTTAACATGCACTTGGATTCAACGATAGCAGATGTCTCTAGGACAAATTTCTTGACCAAGTAAAGTACAAAAAGATGTAAGCCTGCAGAGATTTACTACAGTGTTTAATAGTGAAAAATTACTATCTAAATACTGTTGGCAGGAGACTGATTAAGGAAATGATAATACACAGTAGAGTACCATGTAGTCATTAAAAGTGATGGAGATTTATATACTCTACTGTGCAAAGAGGGTCCTACGGCAATTCAGTGAGGAAAGCTTCCCGAGTGGCGCAGTGAAACGTGTACACACGGTTATGTGAATGTGCCGATGGAAGGGAGTCTGAAGGGACATTTCCCCTGTAACAGGGGACCACGACTCTGAGATGGCTGGTAATTCTCTGTCCCTTCTTGTAACTTTTTACATTAATTCTCCTTTTACAAACACTGAGTACATATTTTTACCAAAGTAAAGGCATTTTGTTTAAAAAAGAAAACACAGGTCCAAAATATTTTTTCTTTAAAAATATCAATATATATAAATAAAGAGAAATCCCTCTTATCCCATCATAAAAGGGCAATAAACAAACAAAAAAACTCCCTTCATTTATAAGTTAATTTTTAAATTTAAATCTCTGGACAATTTAAAGTATTTCACAATAACTAAGCATGTTTTCATTCATAATTTTATTACCACTGAGGTTTTGGCTCCTGTAAGGGCAAAAACTGTAAATTACCTGTAAACTCTAACTACACTGAGTATCACGAACACGTTACATACAAAGCGCAGTAAACACTGGCAATGGGCCATTCGGACCAGTGCTTTGAGGCTGCAGCCCCACTTCAAACAAATGTAGAACATGGGTCCACAGGCATGAAGATCTATGAAGTTTCCAATTACATCAGCCAGGAATTATTTATATACTTAACGTTCTTCCTTCTAAGGGGAGGAAAAAAGAAGACTAACTCTGAATATGCTCAACCTCCTCAGAAATCCTTTTGAGTATTTGTTCCAGCTATAATAAAAAATAAGAAAGTTTACAAGTCATTGTGCTTGAGTAACAAGTTAACTGTAGGTGGTGTGTTTCCATTTTTGGTAGTGGGGGCGCCACCAGTTGGTATCACCGAAGGTCCTGTTGACTGACTGAAGCACTGATCCCAGCCGTTCTCTCCACTTAAAACGTCGGCCCCGATACAACAGCCTGTCACCGCGCCACGGTGGCGTGGTGCTCACTGGGCTTGAACATGTCGGTCTCCTAGGACCATGAACCCAGTCACTGTTCATTCTTCTCACAACTAAGTGACTGTGATAATATTAATGCTGCCTCCATCAAAATCCGCTGATAAAATACCTAATTCAAAGTAACTGATGAACCCATACTAAGCAGTCAGTCCGGCTTGCCCAAGGCCGGTCCGCAAAGCGAAGGGAAGGTCCCATTTTAAATTCTGGAACCTTCCCACTTCCTCTGCTCCGGTCTGCTGACACACTAGCTCTCCTCTTTTGGAACTTCTGATTAAATGATATACCACTGTATAAAATACAAATTTATATTTATCTTATACATATTCCATGTAAAATAAAATTGCACAATAAAGATGAATAAACAAAAAGTACATCCAAAATATTTCTAAGAAACTGAATGGCTTCACTTTAAGCGTTTCCAACATGTTCCCTTTCAGGCCAGCAGATGTAGCTATGAATCAGCGATACAGGCCCTGTACCATTATAGGGAATGTCAGCTGCTCTGGGCCAGCCATCAGATGGCACTTCCCCTTTTTTTAAAAAAAATGGGTTTATACTGGAGATTTAATACAACTGAAGGCAGCGACCAACAATTATTTGACCCTGAAACTGATTCTGAACACACCCATCATCTTGGTTATCAATGAGTGCACAGACTTGGACTGCTTCTGCTGAGCATTTTCTGACTGCTTCCTCGGTCGTTGGAAGAATGGCATTTCCCAATACAAGACAGTGAACAGTGAGAAAAGTTCATCGATGGGCTTTTCTGTGGGAACTGCACAGTTTTCAACAACTCTCTAAATGCAGAGCTGAAATACACCACATTGCTCTCCGCAAGCCTCTGAGCAGGGTCGTCCCCTGAGAATCTGCTCGGTCTTAAAGCCTAAGACACCCCTAATAAGTCTACCGGGTGCCCTGTCTTAGCAGAGCCTGACCCAGGGCAGGCCCACAATGTCTTCTGAATGAACAAGTCAATAAACACTCCTGCTTTCAAAAGAAGTCCCCTTGACAAAGTGTCAGTGGTTCATTTTTATGTGAGATGTTTCGGCCACAGAGATCAAACGGATGTGTCTAATGACCTACATGTAGGAAGAAAGTGTATCTGCAGTCTCCCTTTTTAGTTAAAGACATTAAGATGCAATATAAAAGGATCCTAAGTATCCTCATATTCAATAGTGTCAATCAGAAAAGAATATTTCTCCCTCGAATATTTCATTAGGCAGTAATCCTCTTATCAGTCCCATAGAAGTTCACATTCTAGAAACTGAAATAGCACAGTCTAGCTCATAAAGCCCAAGTCTGCAAGTATATAATTTAATTTAAATAACCTAATTTTGTTGGTCTTTGAAAATTAGCCCACTCAGTTACTTAAAACTAAAGTTTTCTTTAGTCAGACTAGGAGAAAAGCAACATCTGTGTGTGTATTAGTATATTTTAAGTGGAAAGTACAATAATGCCTATGTTTAGTTATGATTAAGCCAAGTGAAAAAATTCAATAATGCCAGTAATAACTCTAATAATAATACCTATTACTCCAGCAATTCTGCCCTCCCTTCCCCCTCTACTGAATCACTCCCATAAGCATGCACACATGCCATTAATTCTCCCAACTTAAAAAATAAACACAAACTGTCTTGGCCCCAACTCCCCCTTCTAAGTGCGATCCCACTTCTTTCTTTCCCTTTACAGTAAAACGCAAAAGACCTGCCATGCGTGCGCCTCCAATCTCCCCACCACTCTCGTACCCGACCGTGCCCATCAGTGACCATACCACGTGCTAACTCAGTGGACTGTCGGTGCTGGCTCTCCTCCTTGAAAACCCGACACCTGAGGCACCATCCTGCTGGCCTTCCCTACCCCCACTGTGGGCAAACCTCAGTTGCTCCTTTCATTCTCCAACCTTTAACCCTCAGTTGGGCCCAAGAGTTACTTCCTTCCTCGGACCTCTCTACGGTCCCTGCCTTAGTGAGGTCATTCTGATCTCACAGCTTTAAGTACTATCTGTACACTAATGAGTCCCAAATTATAGCTTCCCCTTGCATTTCCCCCCGAATGCCAACCTTCTGCATCTAACTGCTGGCTCGACTCTCCCTTGGCAACCTGACAGGTATCTCAAACCGACAGGTCCCAGGAGCCCCTGACTTAACCCCCACATCTGTTCGGGCCACAATGGCCCCCATACAGTTTCCAGCTGCTCAGGCCAAAAGCCCTGGAGACATCCTTGACTTCACTTTTTCTCTCCCCTTTTGCATCCAATCTGTAACAGATCCTTGTTGCCTCTACCTTCGAAATACACCCAGGACCTCTTTCCCTCACTTCCCCTGCTGCTACCAGTTCCATTCCACACCATCATCACTGGCAGTTGTCACCGACAGCCTGGTCCACAGAGCTTCCCATGGGTAGTTTAAAAAAGACGGTCATTCTGAATGGAGAGTTTTTTAGCTTATAGTCTAAATTACACACACACAGGCTTTTAAAATTTTCCCCATAATATGTAAATATATTAATAATTTAAATAATAATTTTACAATTCTTTAACTGCTTTAGAAGAGTACTTATATACATGGGTGTCCGAAAGCATAGAAAGTTGTTCCAAAATTGATAATTTCACTGAACAATTAGCTAGTGCCAATTTATACAGAATGAACATTTGCTATGAATTAATCATTTATTAATTACATTTGAAGTTCCACCACCTTTAAATATGTAAATTACTTCTATCATTTACTAGTCACGGGGAGTTGCCTAGTTACTAGTAAGAATTTAGTCACCTTCTCTGTTGCCACTTCCTAAGAGAGTGAACAAACTATAAAATTTGAGAATCAGGAAGATTTGGACGCAGAAAGCAGGGTAAACATTCCAGACACCAGTTACAGGACTGTAGTTACTTACACTGTGAACTCCTAAAGCCTTCCAGACGGCGAAGCTGATCACGCCAACCCCACACCATGCGTACAGGGAGCCCCAGCCCAGGGCTCGCAAGGCCAGGGACGACCCGCTCTCCGGGAGAGCGGCGGTTGCCAGGCTCCCCTGCAGGGAAAGCAGAAAGGCTGGGGTGAGAGTCTACACTTCAGAGAGAATAAACATTTGGGGAGTGTTCGAAGTTAATGTAAAAAATAGCAATATCTACAAAAACACCCCCAAAGAAACCATCCAAATTTATATAAAACCATTTATAACTTACATTCCTATGTTGGTGAGAATGAGCATTTTCCCAAGTTATAAACCAAATGTTTATGCATTTTGAATTATATATCCATGTTGTTTGCCCACTGAAAACTTCCTTATTTGTATTTTCTCTTTATATATTGATATTCTTCAGCCCTTACATCTATGTACTATCCTATTGTCCTAGTTTGCTTTACTTTTAATTCCTTGAATCTTGCTTTTTTAGTTTTTGTCTTTTATCAAAGATGCATTCTAATGCTTTTAAATTCAATAAAACTTCCCCATCCTAAAGTTATAGTCATTTCTCTTTTCTGTTAGCTGTATTTTTTTTAATTGTCTCTTCTTTTTACCACTGACTTTTTAGTTCATCTGGTATTTATTTTGGTTTTGACGGGAGCTAATGACTCAAGGGAGTTTACTTCTCAAAAAGCTTAGCAACTACCGCATTCTAATCTAATCGATTAATCCTTCTCCAACTTATTAGAGAAACCTATATAGAGAGGTTTATTTTTAAGCTATTTTTGTACAACTAACTTGTTATCTATTTTTATGCCAGAATCACACAGATTTAATGATAGAATAAAAAGTCTTAATATCCAGAAAGTACACCATACTCATTATTTTTCAAAAATTTCTTCATTGCTTTTGCCTATTATTTCTTCCAGAAAAATCCTAGAATGTTCTTTTTGTTGTTCAAGTAGTTTTCTGCCTTTTCCCCCCACCCCAGCCCAACAGCTCAGCCCCCCCTTCCCTTTTGTTTCCACCCCCCATTATTGTCCATGTGTCCTTTATAATGGTTCCTGTACACCCTTCACCCTTTTCCCCTGAAATTCCCTCCCCTCTGGACACTGTCATACTGTTCTCAAGTTCAGTATCTTTGGTGATATTTTGCTTGTTTGTTTTGTTGATTAGGTTCCTTTTAAAGGTGAGATCATATGGTATTTGTCTTTCACCACCTGGTGTATTTCATTTAGCGTAACGCTTTCCAGTTCCATTTATGCTGTTGCAAAGGTAAGAGCTCCTTCTTTCTTTCTGCTGCATAGAATTCCATTGTGTAAATGTACCATAGTTTTTTGATCCAGTCATTTACTGATGGGCACCTAGGTTGCTTCCAGCACTTGGCTATTGTAAATTGTGCTGCTATGAACATTGGGGTGCACAGGTTCTTTTGGATTGGTGTTTCAGGGTTCTTAAGATATAATCGTAGCAGTGGAATTGCTAAGTCAAAAGGTAGATCCATTTTTAGTTTTCTGAGAAAATTCCATACTGTTTTCCATAATGGTTGTACCAGTCTGCAATCCCACCAACAGTGCACTAGGGTCCCCTTTTCTTCACAACCTCTCCAACACTTGTTTGTTGCTTTGGTTATGATGGCTATCCTGACCGGTGTGAAGTGGTATCTCACTGTGGTTTTAATTTGCATCTCTCTGATAGCTAGCGATATTGAGCATCTTTTCCTATGTCTCCGGATCCTCTGTATGTCCTCCTTGGAGAAGTGTCTGTTCAAGTCCTTTGCCCATTTTTTAATTGGGTTGCTTGTCTTAGAGTGGAGTCATGTGAATTCTTCATATATTTTGGAGATTAAATCCTTGTCTGAGGTATCATTGGCAATTACATTTCCCCATACAGTTGGTTCTTTTTATTTTAATACTGTTTTCTTTAGCTCTGCAGAAGCTTTTATTTTGATGAGATTCCATTTGTTTGTTCTTAAAATCCTAGAATATCCTGTCAAGATTTCCCCTCCAACTGGTGAAAATGTCCATTCACTGGCATTTTCCTAATAATGACATCAAACAAACTGGCAAATGTATAACATCCTATCTTCTACCTGGAAATGTATTTCCATTCTCTTCTCCTTTTCTGTTTTAGAGGAATTCTTTATACTGTTCAACACATTTCTTAACACGGCTGTCTTTCCACACGTTCCTCCTGGTTGTGAATGTTACTGACAGCACCTGGAAACTGTGCCTGTGTCCGACATGTGCCTAGCACGTGCCTCGGCCTGGTAGGTACTCGGAACTCACCGACTTACACTGTTTTAACATGTAGACCCAACGAAATTTCTAAGAACTTTTGCATACCCATTTTCTGTGATACGAACAATACCCCCCTGTCTTACTCCTGTCTGTCTCTGTGATTTCACAGTGGCTCCCAGAGTGCACAGAAGGTGCTGTGTGGGTTCCAGCTGCCCAAATTCCCACCCAGAAGCAGTGCTGTCAACCCAAAACCACCAACTGTAGTCGGTTTATGTGCTTTAGCCTAAATTTTATTTTAGAAACTCAAATTAAAAACTCTCCACTTCCCTGAGAAGGACAGAAATTATATATGTATTATCTATGTACATATATTTTTAAAATTCTACATAAACCCACATTTGACTAAATTAAGTTAAAAAGGTAACTACATATAAAAAAGCTTAATGACAGAGCAATAGTCCCAATAAAATCTTAATTTTGTCAAACTTAGATTTAAAAAAAAATAGTGCAGGCTATATTTGTATATCAGCCTTCAGAAATTGACTGTGAGACAAAATGAGTTATTCTTAGTTATTGTTTACATACTTCCAAAAATGAACTTTTGTGGAAACAATATTAAAAATGGATCTATCTTTAAGTTTTTAAAAGTCTAGTCACAGCTTTTTCCTCTGGAGTGCAGGTCATGTGGCCTTCAGAAATCCTGCTCAGATTTTTCAAAATGAACATGGGTTGACTTGCCGCAGGGAAAGGCTGACTTCCCCCCAAAAAAAGTTGCTTTAAAAGATCTTTTGCTATAAATACATATGCTGGTCACATATATATTTAATGAAAGCTAAAATTTTCCTTGCCACATTATTTAATTTCAATGAAAACAAAAGCATGTACATTTGGAAGGTGAATTGAACAAATCACACTGTAGTTATGATATTTACTATCTCCAAGATAAAACAGAAAAACTCTTTTCTAGGTGGCAACTGTATTTTTAACCCCTCATGCCTAAAGCCATGGGGGTGTGCGAGCAGGTGACAGGAATGAATGTTATTCCCAGGTGTGGGATGATCAAGAGCAGACTGTTCAGTCTGTCAGAATGCCAGCTTCATACCTAAGAATAAAGTTCACATTTTCTGTTTTTGTCAGTTTAACCTGGGGCTGAATTTGGTATATCAAACTGACATTTAAAAAGAATGTTCAATCTAGTTATTTCCTCTATGAGGTATAATTACCTGATACAACATTATGATATATTCTTTATAGAGATAGCTGGCTGGTTTTTTAACACACATATATATATTTTAAAGATTTTAAAATAATTTCTCAGAAGCTGTAGCTATAGCAGAAAGATGGTAAGTTGTCTTTGTTCTCCACTCACTATATCCACGGGTCTTGACATGGCTCACGGTCAATTGACCACGCTGTATCACGGTGAGTAGGGGCACCACATTACCCTTGGTAAGTAAACTCTGTGTGCGTTTATATAGTATTCTATTTTCCTCAATTGTTTTAACAAAACAAACATATAATGTGTACATTATTGCCACTCATACTGCTTCACAATCATTTTATGAGACTGATATTATACAAATGTGAAATGTACCAGTTTATCTCAAAAACCTTGACCTCTTTTAATAGATCAACCAAAGAAACTCAAGAGTAGAATCTTTCAGCTACCTTAGCTTGCACCTTCCCTTTCTGTTTATTCAAAGGATAGTAGTAATAATAATAATAATAATAATATTCATTCAGCATTTACTATCGCTCTCCACTCCCAGTTTCTAGCATGAGACATAGCTGAGACAGACATTAAAGGAAAGGTTCTCATCCTTCTAAAATAACAGCAGTGTAAGTAATCTGCCTCCACCTGAAAGCTGATCATTTAAAGTCCTTTTGGGTTGCAATTTTAATCTGTATTATGATTAAGACCTAGATTCCCAGGCTAGTGGACAGAAGTCTATTTAAATTAAAAATTGCTTAAACATAGCACCATTTATTCCCCAGAAGTAATCAGAGGTGGGTAGAGCGCCATGGTGAGCAGGCTGGCGGGTCTCTCTGTGCCTTGGTTGAATGGGGACAACAGTGGAAGTTAGCACCTCACAGGGCTGTGACGGGGGTTAACCGACTCCTAACCTATGAATAGCGGCTGCACATGGTAAGTGCTCAGATGTTAGGCATTATCCCAGAAAACTTTCAGACAGCGACTCTGAAGTGCGCTGCCTGAGTGGTAGTGATCTTAAACTGGTGCTTGTCCAGCATACACTCATTAACCACTCCAGAACCTCTGGGCTCCTCTACAAACCGTACCTCTCCAATAGTCTGAGTCAGGAGTAAGGCTCTAGTTCGGACATCTTCCCAGAGGGGAGGCAGAACTGTACATGCTTAACCATCCAGAACAGCAGTGCTCAAACTTTCTGGTCTCAGGATCCATTTATACTTGATCTCAGAGATTTCTGATTATATGGGTTATATTTATCAATATTTAATGTAGTAAAAGTTAAAATCAAACAATTTTTGAATTTTACTTGATTCACTTTAAAATATACCCATTATAGAGTAATACATTTTTATAAAAATACCTTATAAAAAATAAATTTAGTGCAAAGAAAGGCAATGTTTTCTATTTCTGTTAATCCTTTAAATGGCTGGCTTAGTAAAAGACAGCTAGATTTTCCTATATCCGCATTCAGTCATCTGTTGCAATACGTCTTCTTGGTTGCAGTAAAAGCTAGACTCGCACAGACCTGTGGTTGGAAATGGATGGAGTACTGTAACAGCCTTTGTGCTCCGCACTACACCAAAACACGACAGATAGCTTCTTAAAGGTTAGCTGCAATATGGAATCTAAAGTCGCATTGGTAATTTTTTTTGTACTTTGTTACATTAAAACCCGTTAGTTTATTTTGCACTTTGAATGAAACTTTTATCCATACATCATGATCATTCAGAAAATATTTACCAAGTTACACAGATCTTTCCAATGTTGACACCATTTATTAAATGGTGAACTGATATTTTTAAAAGTCAGTTCATTAATACCATCACAAATCTCATTAGAAAAGCCTTTAAGTACTGAGCAGCTGTCAAGCCCACAAAGGTAGATAAAATTTTCTGAAATATAATTTTCACTTAAAAGCTCAAATTTTACCATTGGTAACATACACTGACAATTGCTTGCTTGAAGAGACAAGCCTATGTTGTTCATTTTTAAGGAAATGTCTGTCATGTACCCTCTACTGAATACCTATAGTTTGTCCGTTGTTCTTTCAAGTAAAAACAATATGCCGTGAAAAAAAGCAGCTAGTTCACTGGGCAACTCAATTGCTTTTCCTCAAGAAAAACATCTTTCTTTGATACAAAGCAGAGTGCTTTAGTAGTACTTCCCATTTTTTCACACAGATATTAAAGAGGTATGTTCAGGGGTCAGGAGTCAATAAAACAATTTTACTGCTTCAACAAGAGCCTTCCTTGACAGAGATGGGTTTTTAAACTGTAAGCACATGGTAATGAAGAACACATGACTGCTGGTACAGCCTGGGGCCACTGCCTTGATGACACCGAGGCACCAGCAGTCCCCCCGCCCCCATGGCTTCTGTACTGTCAGTCCAAATGTCTCAGCTTCATTATGGAAAACTTTGACTTTATAGACCCCCAAGAGGGTCTCAAGCATCCCCAGCACTCCGTGGACCACAGTCTGAAAACCACGTTAGACCATAAAGGGCATATATGATAATCAAATCTTAGAACCACAAAGCCAAAAGCAAACTTGCGAACACTCGTGTTTTTTTTTTCCTGAGAGAGAATTCGTAGTTTTCACCAGCTTCTCAAAAAAATCTGTCAAAGGTTAACGTGAAAACTTAAGCTTAGAAACAAACCCAAACTCTACTATTAAAGCACCACTATCAGGTCTTACTAATTTTTGCCTCAAGATATTTTTCTGCTCTGAAAATATTCTGTAATATAGATAGAAATGGCCATGTGGTTCATAGGAATAATTTGGGAAGTTCTGCTTCCATGAGTAATCAGAAGGGGACCCAGATGCACTTTGAATGTGCTCTCTTACCATTACAATGTTCATAAGGCTTAAGTATGGTTACTAGGTTATTAAGATACATAGAAATGGAAAGGGGTTCAGCTGGTTTATGATTTTTTTACATTCACACTGTTCTTCTAGAGCAAACACCAAATTGTAATTATGTAGTTGTATGAATATTTATTTAATATTTGTCTCTTGCACCAGAGCTAGCTGCCTAAAGGGCTATGTTTTTTTTATTTTTGTATTTCTTATAGCTAGCTATAGCCCATAAAAGAGCCCAAGTTACAGGGGTTGAAGCAATAAAGTATTGTAACAGATAAATAAACCAGGAGAGGGCAGAGACAGAACAATACCTAAGAACAAGTATCCATGAGCAAATGTGAGGACAATATCGCCACTTGGTAAATGCACTATACATGACCACAACGGTGACTGCTCAGTCTTGCTTTTGGAGTAAGGGTTTTCTGCCTGAAGCATGTTACAGTCATTCAGTCAAAATTTACTGAGCACCTACTGTGTGCCAAAGAGAGGGGCTGCAGCAATGCACAAGCACATGTTATCTCTGAATTCAAGGAGCTGTCGTGTTTTTCATCAATATTAAGATGCACTTCACTTGAAAACGTTAGCATCTCTGAGACAGAAACGCCTCTTGCAGTCAATACTGTGTCAATAGTTTAACTGGCATCACGTTTTCTTTCTTAGTTGTACATGAACTACTGGGGCCTCTTACAACTGATAGTGAATTACCTGGATTTAGATCTAAAATCACGCTGGAAATAGAAAATGTACTGGTTGAGCTTTCAAAGTCTTGTTCTGCTAAAATTTAAGAAAGCACATATTTAAGCACCTATTTTTAAGAAAGACTTGATTAATTTGAGCACTTCCTGAAATTAAGAGGTATACATAGATAGGTTTACTTCTAAAAGCACTATGAAAAGTCATGGATATTTTCTTTATTTAGCTACCATTTACTTGTAAACAATAACGATGCTGCGAATAAATTTTGGTGTCACAAACCTTATTGAACCATTCAGGGCTTCTCTTTTTAGCCAATGATAATGTTGTAACAAATCCAGCTAGCATTCCTGCAGCAGCAACAGTACCTAGGAAAAGTCCACCTGCCAAGAGTTTTTGGGGTAGGGAGCAGAGGATGGGGAGAGAGATTAAGGAAAGAAAACAAACAAACAAATGCTGCAGTTAAAAAGATGTACACAGTTAAATTTTAGGCACTACTTAAATTACATTCAAAATTACTTTTGAAATTCCAGAAATGATGGCTAAGCAGCTCTTGCCATCATTTATCAGGGATAAATGATAGGGCCTCTGAAACCTGCATGACCCCATGACATCTAGTTCCTGAGGTCATTCTGAGATATTCCCAAGTACATAGAATGGGCACAGGGACCCTTCTCAGGGACAGATGGATCTCGAGAATATCATGCTAAGAGAAATAAGTCAGACTAAAAGTCAAGAACCATATGATTTTACTCATATGTGGGATTTAAAACTGAAAGCAACAAATAGCCAAGAACTCATAGACACAGACAACAGTATGGTAGTTACCAGAGGGAAGGAGGGTGGAGGTGGTAAAGGGTGAAGGATCAAATATAAGGTGACGGAAGGAGACTATACTTCTTACTGTGTGGGAAGCACACAATGCAATACACAAATCATGCGTCCCAGAACTGTACACTTGAAGCGAACAGAAAAAAGGAGGGCGCGGGGGAACCGCAGAGGGCATGGGAGAAATGTGGCACACCGAACGGCTCTCAGAACCAGTTCCACCCCCCACCCCGTCCCCGCGACCAGGGAGGCTCCACCCAGCACGAGCACCGACCCATCCGGGCCGCCGGACCCCCAGATGTAAACTCAAGGGCAGACCCAGGAGAACTTCTCCCAGGGCGGGCGGCAGTGGGAATGTCCGCTGCAGCTTGGGCAGAGCCCGGGCTGAGCTCGCTCGACCCCCGCTGCTCACCGCACCACACCTTTAACCAGGAAAAGCCGGTCGTCCGTGGATCCCGGAGCCTCCAGCCCGGAGGACCGTTCCCCAGCCTCAGGGCCTGCAGGCTCCATATTTATAATAAAGCCTCCACTACCGTGTCCGGGGACAACTGGGCCCGGCTGGAAGCGACAGCGAGGTGGAGGAGAAAGGTTCCGCTCTCACTTTCCCGTGTACAACCTGAGTTTCGGCCCAGGGCCGATCGCCGACCCCACACCTTTTCCCTTTCCTCGCGGCCGGGAGGGGAGACCGGGAGGCTGCACGCAGCGTCCCTAGCCCATCTTAGGGTGGTGTCCGCCAACGCCGTCTCCGGGTCCTGCCTGCATCAAGACGCTGGAGCTGGTACACGGGCTCAGCCAGCGGTAACACCCCACAATTCTAAGAAGTAGGCTTCATTTTTTAGCTGTCATTTTTCTGGGAAATAGGTGTGAATGACAGGTTCCATCCCTGGAAGAGAGTCAGATCTGGGGTAACACGCCTCCTTCCCTGCGGAGGGAAGAGAATGGCTATTACAGCTGAATGGACGTGAGGGATACGAGCCTGCAGAGAGAGCCTCCAGCGGATCCAGCCTGGAAACGAGGGCAGCTGGCAGACAGGCCTGCTCTGCAATCTGGGAGCTGGTTTGCTAAGGGTGGTGGATTCTGTGAATGGCCATTGACAGGAGAAAATATTTTCAGCCTCTCAAAACACAGACACATGACAAAATCTTTTAAAATGAGGTGACCTGTCACTTGTTCATTATTCTCAATTTTTTTTAAAAAAGGTAATGAACTTGAGGATGGGATGGAAATCTTTATTCATTTTTTATTTAAAAAATATTTTATTGATTTTTCTATTATAGTTGTCCCAATTTTTCCCCTTTTGCCCCCTGCCATCTGGTACACCCATTCCCCCTGGCAATCCCTTCCCTTGGTTCATGTTCCCCTCCCTCAGTTCATGTTCATGAATCATGCACTGAGACTTTGATATTCCATTTCCTACACTCTTCTCAACATCTCCCTGTCTATTCTGTACCTATCCATTTGTGCTTCTTTTTTTTTTACTTTTTAAAAAGATTTTATTTGTTTATTTTTAGAGAAGGAAGGGGAAGGGAAGGAGAAAGAGAGAGAGAAACATCGATGTGTGGTTGCCTGTCATGTGGCCCCCACTGGGGACCTGGCCTGCAACCCAGGCAGGTGCCCTGACTGGGAATCGAACTGACAACCCTTTAGTTCACAGCCCATGCTCAATCCACTGAGCTACACCAGCCAGGGCTCGCTTTGTACTTCTTTTTTTTTTTAATTGATTATGCTGTTACAGTTCTATTCCCCCCTTCATTCCCCCCCCCTGCCCCCTCCCCATTACCCCCTTTAGTTTATTATTGTCGTCCTTTAGGTTCTATATTTCCCATGCTATTCTTGCCCCCCATCTATTTTCTATCTCTGTCGCATGCTACTTAATCCCTGCACCTTTTCCCCCACTCGCCCCCTTCTCCCTGCCAACTGAGAACCCTCCAAATGATCTCCATTCCTATGATTCTGTTTCTCTTCTGCTTGTTTGCTTAGTTTGTTTTTTAGATTCAATTGTCGATAGCCGTGAATTTATTGCCATTTTAATATTCATAGTTTTGATCTTTTTCTTAAGTGAGTCCCTTTAACATTTCTTAGAATAATGGCTTGGTGATGATGAACTCCTTTAGCTTTACCTTGTCTGAGAAGCACTTTATCTGCCCTTCAATCTAAATGATAGCTTTGCTGAATAGAGTAATCTAAGTTATAGGTCTTTGCTTTATATCACTTTGAATACTTCTTGCCAGTCCCTTCTTGCCTGCAAAGCTTCTTTTGAGAAATCAGCTGACAGTTTTATGGGAACTCCTTTGTGGGTAACTCTCTGCTTTCCTCTCTTGCAGCTTTTAAGATTCTCTCTTTATCGTTAACCCTTGGCATTTTAATTATGATGTGTCTTGGGGTGGTCCTCTTCACATCCATCTTGTTTGGGACTCTCTGTGCTTCCTGGACTTATCATGTCTATTTCCTTCACCAAATCAGGGAATTTATCTTTCATTATTTTTTTCAAATAAGTTTTCAATTTCTTGCTCTTTCTCTTCTCCTTCTGGCACCCCTATACTTCGAATGTTGATGTGTTTGAAGTTTTCCCAGAGCCTCCTTAGACTATCCTTGTTTTTGGGATTCTTTTTTCTTCTTGCTATTCTGAGTGAATGTTTTTTTCTTCCTTATATTACAAATTATTGATCTGATTCTCAGCTTCATCCCCTCTGCTGTTGATTCCCTGTAAATTTTTCTTTATTTCACTTCATGTAACATACATTTCTGCCTGGGTCTTTTTTATGCTATGAAGTAGCCAATGAGTTCCTTGAGCATCCTAATAATAAGTGTTTTGAACTCTGCATCTGATAGATTGCCTATCTCCATTTTATTTGGTTCTTTTCCAGGAGTTGTGTTCTGTTCTTTCATTTGGGCCATATTTCTTTGTCTGCTCATTTTGGCAGCCTCTCTATGTTTGTTTCTATATATTAGGTAGAACTGCTTTGACTCCCTGTCCTAGCAGAATGGCCTGTTATAGAAAAGTGCACCCATAAGTTGGATGGGGTCCATGGAGCCTTAGATAATCCCCAGGGCAGAGCCATCCATGTGAACCAGACTGATGGAGTCTCATTTATGGTGTCACTGCTCTGTGGCTCTGTGTTGGGGAGGGCTCAGAAAGGGGACAATGCCACTGCCTGGCCTCCGGAGTTTTGTCTGGGATGAAGATATCCCCCAACACTCTCCCTAATGCAGACACTTCAGTTTCTCCCTATCTGCCACTGGTGCCCTTCAAGCTGCTGCCCTTGTGCTGGAGCCCAGAGGGAGTGAGTCTGCATCAGTCCTATGTCCATTGCAAGTCCTTTTAAGAGGAGATGCCTGAGAACCCCACAGTTTCTTCTACCACCCCAACCTAGACTGATTTTTACAGCCAGAAATTTTGGGGACTTATCTTCCTGGCACTGGAACCCGGGACTGGGTGGTCTGGTGTTGGGCCAGGATCCCTTGCTTCCTTCCAAGGTATCTCTCCCAGTTCTTATCCAACACACGTAGTTGTAGAACTGGCATTCTGTCTCTGTGTGTCTCCATGTGTCTCTGCCCCTTCTACCGTGCTGGATGAATGTGATTTCTTTCATTCCTTGGTTGTTGGACTTCCCTACGGCTCAATTTTCTGATATTTGTTTTGTAGTCTAGTTGTAATTTTTTCTGTGGTTGTGTGAGAAGGCAAGCTGTGTTTGCCTATGCCTCCATCTTGACCAGAGTCCTTTATTCATTTTGATATTCCTCACCTCTCAGTGTATTTCCTAGTCATGCATATTAAATAAACACTGGGTGGATGAGTAAATGTATGCATCACTTCTTGCATCAGTTAAATGTGATTAGTAGCTCAAACCTGGGCTCAGGTCCTAAGCCACCTGTCAGCTCTATGAACTTGGTCGGGTTACTCAGTCTCTCTATACCGCAGTGTCTCGTCTGTAAAATAAAGACACTGATAGTACCTACTGCATCAGGTGGCTGATTAACTTGTTCAACCCAACTGTTAAGCGGCAGAGCCTGGACTTAAAAGCAGCTCTGTTGAGTCCTCGCCCACCGTCCACTCGTCCTTGAGCTGGACCCTGATAACTGAATGACCTGGAAGGGCTTGTTGACCACAGACAGCTGGGCCTCACACCCAGAATTTTGGATTCAGTTGCATTAGGGTGGGGCCCGAGAACTATCCTGTCTGATAAGTTACCAGGTGACGCCGATGCCGCGGTTCCAGTTGGAGAATGTCTTCTCTCTGCCACATTGCCCAAGGCACGCCTCTTAAAATCCACTGAGCGAAAATGTGCGGCTTCCTCCACTCACCCCGTCTTTGCTGTCTCCCCAGAAAGCACAGAAACGTTTTATTTTAAGGATTTTTGACCACTTACTGAAAGAAACAGGAGAGAGATGATAACATCTTTTAAATCTAGGGACAGCACAGTGTCCTGTACTCTACAGTCATCTCTATTTCGAGAAAGTAACTACAAACCCTGCTTTTATTCTTAAGGATGCAGCCCACAAATTTCTACCTTCTTTCTAACTGGCCAAGTGAAGGACAATTTTATTCCTTCCTGCTTTCCCAGAATACAGAGGGTGGAGGCGGCAATTAGAGTAAACCAATGGGTAATCTTTGCCTCGGGTGAACACGTTGCCATTTGAAGATCCTCCACACACACCCCCCCGGAGGAGGAGGGCCTGAGCACTCCTTGGACAGGGCTGGCTGGTGGGAAACTGTAACCCATTCTTCACTTGCCCCAGGCTCCTGCCACTTGCTGTGTCCCAGGTGCTGGGAGATGGGGGTTCCAGGGCCTGGGACACCAGCAAGGTACAGGGATGGGGGTTCCTGGCCCTAGGATAAGAACCACATTCCAGACACCCCAAGTTAGAATGCTTAAAGAAAACATACTTTAAAGACAGTGCTACTCAAGGTCTCATCTTTCTACAGTGCACACTGCTAGGTACCTCAGGTGCCACCTGGGTATCTGGCCTGCTTTAGGAACCCCCAAATCCCACACAGTCTGGTTTCCATAGGAAAGCATTGTACCAGCTCCAAAAAGGCAACTTGGAAACATTTGGAGCACAGTCTCTACAAGAAAGGGACACTAGTTCTGAAAGAGCAACATGAGCATTTCCCAGCGTGGAAACCAGGGATCAGAAAGTTGTGCAGCTTTGGTGCTCCGTGCAGGCCGAGCAGGCCCATCCTTTCTGTGGAAGTCTGATTCCCTTTCAGGAGGATGTAAGGGACATTTCTTACAAGCCAAAGGGGCTGCTGGGAAAGCACGTTTCTCTGAGACACACTCTGTTGCTGTTTCGGTGTTTGTTTTAGCCAGTGGAAGTCTACACCAGCAATGTGTCTGACCACATTCTCATTTCAAAGATTTTGGCCCCTGAAGATTTTATTTCAAATTTTTAAAAGCTAGAAACCTGCTAGTATTCAAGTTCCCAAACCTTGGGTAGCCCTCACTCTAGCTAGTTCCAAATGATGGGTTTTTCTTCCATTTATTTTTAAAAGATGTTTTTGAAGCTTCAATTTCTGCTTATGATATGAAGTTGAATTCTTCCTAAAACCTGATAAGAGTCACGTATTGGTCATTCTTCTTCCCGCTGCTTGATACGAGATACTTGTCCGAAATATAATGCAGAGACCTTCCAAAGCTATGGACCGACTAAGTGTGTGCACAGAAAAAAAGGTCTACTGGACCTTACACTGAATTATTAACAGAAGCTAACTTGAAGGAAGTAGGGAGGTAAAACTTGCTAATTCAGCTATTTTCAACCATTCTCATCCCATGGCACTCATTCATTACTAAAATTACGCAGCACATCAAAAATATATTTTTTCTGCTCTGACAAAAAATAGGTATAATTTTGACTGATCTACAAAAAAATGTTAATTACCTATCCTTGTTGCTCCAAAGTGATTTTTCAAAAAAAAATCATATGTCTATATTTGTATATAAGGATTTCTGGTACCAAGAATTAACCAATCAGACACAACCTTATTATGATGTGGCCAATAAGATGCAACTCTATTACATGACCTATGTTTTATGGTTCAGACAGGACATTCACACCAGAGACAGCTGTTGTCTTTTTTTTTTTAATCTGACAACCTAAAGGAAGAGAGGTCGGTGCCCTTGACTAAATAGTCAGGTATTGGCATGTTTTTAAAATTTGTGCAGCACACAGGTTGAAAATTGCTGTGCTAATTATATTTCTTCTACTTTCTGCCTTAAGCAAAATGCTGACCAAAGCAACATTTTTATATATTTCTGTAATATTTGAAAAAGTTTTAGCTAGGGACTTGTACTACTTTTGTGAAAAGGATAAAAAGGAAAGGAATGCGGCCCCGACCAGGTAGCTCAGTCGGAGCATCACCCTGACAGCGAATCGAGGTGTCTCTCCCTCCCTCCCTGTCTCTCTCAAATCAATCAACAAAAATTCAAATAAAGAGAGAAAGGGAAGCAATAAAAATATTTTAGAAATATGTCACCTTACCTAAAAATTTTGTTGCTGTTGTTTAAATAGGAATGTTACATAGGTTTCCAGGGTAACTCACCAAACTCTCCAGCCAGATACCCAGGGATGGCATTCCTTCTAGGACAGCAAGGAGGCAGGACTGAGAAGCATATGTCTTAAGAAAGAACTCTGAGCTGGCCGAGAACCCACGCAGCACTTGTATCCCCCAGTTTACTGTTCTTATAGCCTCTTGAATTCTTCCCAGTAGCTGCTCTGGGCTCCCAGAGTTATAGTTGCTTTGACATGCACTACAATGGATAAATGGTAAACGTGGTAATAATTCCTCTTCCCTGAGCAGAAACTAGACTTCCAAAGCTTGCGTCTCATTACTCACTTCCGGCATCTCATTACTTATCTCTCAGAATTGTATTGTATAACTGTCCCGGGTTGAATAATAGAGGTCTGTCTTCATCACGGTAAATGGAAGTTGCCATTGTAGACCACTTCCTTTCCATTTTCTTTGTTGTAGAGAGTACCTTTCCTATTTCTTCCTATGCCACCAGGTGAGTCATGACTGTTAATGATAAAGCAGAAATCACTTTGAAAGCTGTTGTAGTTCATAAGCCACGAGACATTTTCTTCTAAGAGTGGGATGCATATAATTTTCTTTAACGACATTCTTCTATCTTCTCGTGAACATCAAATGTGACTACATATGCTCAGGCATTTTGTAGATTGTCAAGTGTTCTGACAATACAAAGCATTGCGATGTTTAGTCCTGTGTGTGTCCTAGTCATAGAAAAGCCCTTTATCGTTGCCAAAATCAAAATGCATTTCCGTCTCTGCATCACCATTTCGCCAGGAGTTCATACTCAGGCACACATGTTTCACTCACATTTCCTAATGAGGTCCGTGATATCAACCATGCTGTCATTAATGTTTATTATGTTTATCATGCATTTATTTTATTAATTATTCTCTCCTATTCCAGTGTATTAAAAGTATAAACTGCAACATTACCAAAATACAGTACAAGGTTAATAGTATGTATGGTGAGAGAGTGACCACGTGTTCTAATGAAAGCTTTCGTGATCAGATGCTGTGTTCAGATTGACTTGTTTTCATTCACTCAGCAAATATTAACTGAGCGCCTGGTCTGGTCTTGGGCCCCGGGTTTCCTGCGCTGAAGTGAAGAGGCACAGTCCTCGGCTTGTTGTGCTCATAATTCCACGACTTACCTTTTCTAAGGAAGTGAGAGTTTTGTCAAAGCATCCTTTTTATTTCAACCTCTGTGGCTGGTATTCTTTCTAATTGTATTTCTTCTAATTTCTGCGTTAATAAGTAAAATGTGGACTAAAGCAACTTTTTTACTTCGTATGAAATCTGCAGTGTTTCCAGTCAACCCTCTGAATATTCACTGTTCTTGTCCACATGGGGAGAGAGGGCCCAGGAGGTAGGTCTGCCCCTGTGCGGGCCCTGCCTGCTGGGTCTCAGCATGCAGAGAGGGCCCAGGGGCGTGGGGTCAGTCCCCAGAAATAGGCTCAGCCACTGAGGCCCTGGCAAATGACTCAGGAGCAGGTAGGCTCATTCTGGGGGACAAAGCACGTGCCTAGGTGGGTCATGATAAGACAGAGACACAGTCCAGGTGGTCTGGTTGTGAGATGGAGGTAAGGATTTCTAACGAGGTAGCATGGCATCACCTTCAGGCAGGAAGGCTGGCAACACCAAGAGATTCATCCGTGGGGAACAGCATCCCATCCCTGAGCAGAACTGGAGATCGTGAGACGGTAACTGGTCCTTGCAAGGTACAACCCCAGTTAAAATAGTGAGGGCACAAAAATGAGGCCACGGTCAGGATCCCAGTTATCAGACCCACATCACCATGGTATTGAGTCAGTAGGGTGGGCTGCATGGACCAAGGTCTGCAGAGACTGATTCAGGTCAAAACAAAAGCTGGGTCTGCAGGTGGGAACCAGTTCGGCGCAACGGAGGTGGAGAGCTGGAGGAGAGGGAGGGAAGCAGATGGGCCCCTGCATTCAGGTGTGTGACGTGATCATTTGCAGGAGGTCCTTGTCTGGGGCCAGGGGCAGCGGGGGGCCGGAAGCTAGCCTGCATCCTGCTCACCGGGCCTGGTGCCCAAGGCAGAGCTGCCGCTGTCCCCAAGGAGGGTCACCTTTTCTCTTCACAAAAAGGCGGCACGTGAGCATAAATGTCTTTGGAAACGTGACATTTAAAACTTGATATTCACAGGCTAGACGCCAATTTAACATATCCCAGCTGATGGGAGTCTATCTTGTACCTCAATGTGTTAAGGCAGAATAAAACATCTTGAGAAAAATCCCAAAGCATCCAGGCTAGAGTCTCAGAAACACTTTTGTGCTAAAAGTAGTTTGTATAGATTCAAAATGCCTTTGGAATTCAGCAAATAAGTCAGAAAAGTGCTTCTGAAGAATGCTAGCTTGCTTACACCACTTGAATTGAATATATATGTATGTATGTATGTCTGTATGTATGTATATATATATATATACATACACATATGGTCTTTAGACAAGTTTTTAAATAATTTTAGCTCACCAACTATTGTGCTTTGCATTACAAAAGAAAGGTCTACAGTTACTTCTTGCTGGTCAGTCTATTTCCATTTTAGTCACATATTTAAGAGATTTGACCCCTTTGATTGACTCTCATGTATAAAAGGAATAAGCTCTTAGGATATAATTATATAGCATGATAAAATATTTCACTATACAGTAAATTACATGCCATTTAAAAGACAGTGTTTTATTTAGGTCAACTGTACAGGGCCCAATGCCCTTTTCAAAACGTTCAAAGTGTTTGATGGATTCATTGCTGAGTGCACTATAAATAAAACGCAGCCTCAGATTCCTCAGAAAATGTGCTAGGGTGCACATCAGAGCCACCGCCATTGATGATACCTCTTTCAAGGTGATAGAAAGAGCCTGGACTAGTTGTCTGGAAGCCAAGGTCTAGGTGCCCAGCCCTGCCAGTAAGGGGGGTTGATCATCTCCACGCCTCTTAATATGGGTTTTATTTCTCTCCTCTGTAAGACGAGGAAAGTATCGAGTAGATCGGCAGTCTTCAAATGTTTTGTGGCGTGCCAGTCCCAGAAGCTGTTAGACATTCCTTAGAGGGGGGGAAGTTTTGTGATCAAATCAGTTTGACAAACAAAATAAAACAAGTTTCTTTGCTTCAGGGCTTCTCAAAGTCTTCAAAAGAATAGCAGTAAACAATGATTCTGCAGTTATTTGCCCACGGAGTTCTTCATTTAGGAGTGTCCTATGCACTGTCGAGTGCAGTTTGAGAAATACCAAACTAGCTGGTCACGAGGCTTCTTCCTTCTCCCCCTGCTATGATCTAGCTGTGTTTGGAGAAATAAGGCTGTTCCGCCCAGAGCACAGAACGAAATGCTGCTCCTTCCTCTTGAGGCTCAAGGTCAGGTCTAAAGTGTAATGTCTCTGCTCTGCCTTTAGTGTGAACCCAAACGGCAGTTGGAAGAGCAAAGACCAGATTTCACTCAGGGGTGGAGGCTTTAATTCTACAATACTTTAGCCGAAAATAACACCTCACTCTTCCGTGTCCAATTTAGAGCTCTTCTTCACATTCCAAGATAGAAGAGAGCTATTTGGGGGGGGGGGAGGGGAGAGCCAAAATGGTCATGAATAATCTACTTCATTCCAATCAATTAGGAAAAAAAAAACCCACAGTTCCTAAAACACATTCTGAATTAGTATAGTTGAGAAATCAAAACAGACTGACTTACAGTAGAATTAGACTTACTATTTCAAGCCCTGCTATTTATGTGTCCTTATTTGGTTGCTTTTCACAGAGTTGCATGACTGTGGATGAAAGTGACCTTGAGAGGTCATGTAGCAAAGCATCTTGTGTCCAGAAATGACGTCACTGAAATTCTCCTAATTACAGATACAGCAGCAGGTCCATCTTGACTCCTGGCTGTGGAGCAACCAGTTGGCTCGGGCACGTTCCGCCTCATCCCTGCACTCCCCTCCAGGAAGCCCCGTGCTGTGATTACAGAGCAGAATGAGCGAGAAAGTCAGTGACATGCTGCATGCCAACCGCAGCCTCAGTTCTGAGGAAAACGGCTGGACAGAGCTCCACTTGCTGGGGTTTCCGTGTTTCACATCCCGCGACCCAGTTACTCTGCACAAAGAAAGCAAACTGGAGCAAGATCGCCACCAACGCCGAAGGCAGCCATCTGTGGGCCAGCAACTCTGCTAGTGGGGGCCCCTGCTTATTGCATGGTGCACCCCACCTGCAGCTGACTCGGGAACACGTGTTCCAATGACTCCCTCTCACTGAAAACTCTGCTCTTCCCTTCCTGTGCCCCCAAACTGTCTGTTAATTTTTCCTACTCAGCCCCGCTTCTTCCGGCTACCACACTGTGACTATAGTGATTTTTCATGGTACTGTCACGAGCCCTTATGTCCTCTTTGATAGAAATGGAAAAAAAAACACCTCTCTCACATAAAGTTGTTTAACATTAGTAGGTCATTGAACAGCTGCACAGGTGCCACTTGCGTCCCCACCCCCATGCCCTCCAGAAGCCAAGGTCCATGAAGAAGCCACGAGTGGAAGGGCACTATTACTTGTGGTGAGTTCCACCCCACAACCCGCCCCCAGCCCCTGGTGCATTTCCCCCCTGGATCATGTCTGTCCCGGGTCCTGGCTTCTCCCTGCGTGCCCTGCTCTGCTGTCCCCTGGCACCCACAGCCGGCCTCATCGCTGGTGGGTGGGTCCCGCCGAGCTCTGGGTAACACTGTCGGTAGACTTCCAACAAAGTCCCTCCTGTCATGACTTTGACAGTGAGGTTGGCCGTACTCAGAGCTGGTGGAGCACCTGTGCCCAGCGTGCTGCCTTCTGCTGCATCACCTGGAAGGAAGCACCTGCGGCTGCGCTGCAGGTCTCTCTCCACAGCCCTGCCTGCACGTGCTAGAGAGCAGCGCCGAGCTGAAGGGTTTGGACGTCGGTGCTCTGGTCGCTGAGCACAGCCGGGTGACTACAGCTCGCACCCTGCAGCTCGGACTGACCCACGTGGGAGCTCTCCCTGCCGCCCTGAGATGGTTCTTCCCGAAAGGAGCAGCCTGTTCCTAAACCAGGAGAGGGCCCTGCACGAAGAGGAGTCTATCCCAGGAGAAACTGAGGAAACAAAAACGTATGACCCAGGGGGTTAGTTCAGCATTAAATAAATACTAATAAAAGTTTTACAAAACAGAATGGTCAAGAAATTTTTTGTAAAAGCGGTCCTCTGAGCGGGACTTGTCCTGCAATGTTGAAAAAAAAATGATGATAAATTACGTTAAAGTCCTAGCCACAGCACAGAACTGGCTAACCAGATCCATGGACAAGAATAGTAAGTACCAAAATGGACTATTAGCTTAGTGAACAAGGTATTTCAAATCAGTGAAGAAAGTAAAATAAAATGATGTTGGGACAACTGGCCAATTACCTGGAAAGGAGAAGTCTGAATTCTATTTCATGTTCAATAAAACCATAAGAGCAATGGGGAAAAATACAGATGATTATTTATTGGAACACATCTTTGAGTTGGGGGAGAACTTTCTAAGCATGAAACCAAAGGAATAAATATAGACTGATTTGACTCTATAACTCTTACCACTGCTCAGTGTAGATTTGCTCAGTTAATTCCATCTTTCCTTTACCTTTGCCTGCCCCTCACTTACTGCTGTGGCGAGTGACCATGTGACTAGTGCTGGCCAATGGGAATAAGCAAGAGTCAGCTGATACTGTCTCTTTCTCCATCCTTCCTCCTTCTACTGGGAATGCAGACCTGATGGCTAGTGCTGCAGCAGCCATTTAGTGATCATAAGATGAGAAGCAAGTGAAGGGCAACAGTGGGCAGGGATGTGAGCCCTCACATTGTCTATCAGCGAACCACTTCCAGCTGCTGCCTCTCTGATAGGTGCTTGTTATGTGAGGTAAGTCCTCTTAGTTTAAGCCAGCGGAGTTAGGATGTCTGTAACATGAAGGTCAAATTGATTCCTAACTGGGCCTGAGCTAAAGGCAAAACAGCATTATTTATATAAAAGGCAAAAACAAACAGGAAAAAATATTTGCAAATACATACTATACAAGTCAAATTCTTATTAATATAAAGACCTCTATAAAAGAGACATTTTATTTACCAATGAAAATGAGCAAAGAATATGAACAGGGTGATTTAAAAAAATTAAATGTCCAATAAATTTATGAAAAAAATTTCAGCTTCACTGATAATCAGAAAAATACACATTAAAATAATCTTAATGATATATCAGCTATAAAAATTGGCAAACACTGGAGCAATTATAGTATCTTCTGGAAAGCAATCAGACAAGATGTCTCCACAGTCTTGGAAGGCCCGTGCCCTTTGGAAATCTGCGGTGAAAGGGTTGATGAAGCGCAGAGATGCACTGCAATGATGTCTCTGGCAGTATTGTTGGTAATTGCAAAATTATGGAAATGGAAGAACTGGGCAATAATGGAGCTCTGCTTAAATAAATTATAGGATTGTTTCACCTAGAAAAAATGTGTCCATTAACCTGCTGCAGCAGAGGCGTATTATTTGACATGCAAAGATGTTCGTTATTCATTATTAAGCAAAGAACAAGTTGAACCACCCCTCAGCAGGGAAGACACATTTCTATTTTTGTTTCTCTGTATGTTTGTGTAGTTATGTGTGTGAGAAATGGCATGGGGGGGGGAATAAATCGAGGCAGTAACACCATCCCTGGGCTTGGTCCACATTTTAAAATTATTTCTGCAATAAACATGCATTGCTTTTGAAAAATGAAAATTATTACTGCAAAAGTATTTCTGTATGAGCACAGGGTTGAAATCGGGGGATTAGAAGGATCAACTATTGAATGGGATCTGGCTGAGACACGTGGAGGTGCCTCACACTAAGGATGTCAGAACCTTCCTAGTCCTTCGGGCTCCTGCCTCTGCACGGTGGTTCTCTGAGCACAGCCGGTGTCTGCTGTGGACAGCTCCTTTAGCTGGCCTCTTCAGAATGGCATGTTTTTCCTTTGGCCAGGGGCATCCAACTGTTTGGCATCTCTGTGCCACACTGGAGGGAGAGTTGTCTTGGGCCATATATTAAATACATTGTGACACGCAATCACAAAAAATCTCATAATGTTTTTGTTTTTTTAATATATTTTATTGATTATGCCATTACAGTTGTTCTATTCCCCCTTCATTCCCCTCCACCCTGTACACCCCTCCCCCACCATTCCCCCCCTTTAGTTTTATGACCAGATGTCTCAAGTTCTTTAGATTCTATATTTCCCATACTATTCTTACCTTCTCCCCTATCTATTTTCTACCTACCGTCTATGCTACTTATTTTCTGTACCTTCTCCCCCCCCTTTTTCTCCCACTCCCCTGTTGCTAACCCTCCATGTGATCTCCATTTCTATGGTTCTCTCCTGACCTAGCTGTCCTCTTAGTTTGCTTTCGTTTTAGGTGTGGTTGTTAATAACTGTGAGTTTGCTGTCCTTTCACTGTTCATCTTTTTTATCTTCTTTTTCTTAGGTAAGTCCCTTTAACATTTCATATAATAAGGGCTTGGTGATGATGAACTCCTTGAATTTGATCTTGTCTGAGAAGCACTTTATCTGCCCTTCCATTCTAAATGAAAGCTTTGCTGAATAGAGTAATCTTGGTTGTAGGTCTTTGGATTTCATGACTTGGAATACTTCTTTCCAGCCCCTTCTTGCCTGTAAGTTCTCTTTTAAGAAATCTGCTGACAGTCTGATGGGAACTCCTTTGTAGGTGACTGTCCCCTTATCTCTTGTTGCTTCTAGAATTCTCTCCTTCATTAACCTTGGCTAATATAATTATAATGTGCCTTGGTATGTTCCTTCTTGGGTCCACCTTCTTTGGGACTCTCTGAGCTTCCTGGATTTCCTGGAAGTCTATTGCCTTTTCTAGATTGGGGAAGTTCTCCTTTATTATTTGTTCAAATAAGTTTTCCACTTGTGACTGTTCCTCTTCCCCTTCTGGTACCCCTATAATTTGGATGTCGGAGCATTTAAAGATGTCCTGGAGGTTCCTAAGCCTCTCCTCATTTTTTTTGAATTCTTGATTCTTCACATTTTTCTGTTTGGTCATTTTTTCCTTCCTTCTGGTCTACTCCCTTGATTTGAGTCTCAGTTTCCTTTCCATTACTATTGGTTTCCTGTGCATTTCCATTCATTTCAATTAGTTTAGCCTTCATATGTTCCTCTAATTCGTGACTAAAATCAACCAGTTCTGTGAGCATCCTGATCACCAGTGTTTTGAACTGTGCATCTGAAAGTTTGGCTATTTCTTCATCTCTTAGATTTATCGGCTCTGGGGCTCTGAGTTGTTCTTGAGCCATGTTTTGATCTGTTAGTGCCTATTGTGTATGAGGAGTGGAGCCTTAGGTGTTCGCCAGGGCGGGGCCACCCAGGTCACTGGTTTGTGACGCTGTATGTGGGGGCGGGGTCAGAGAGGGACAATGGCGGTTCCCTCTGCCGCTTCCTGCCAATGGGGCCTGTGTGGTCCTCGGTCCATCTCACTGCTTGCTCCTTCACCGGTTTATCTGCGCACGAATGTGTGACCTCGATCAGCCCTCAGTGGGTCCACCGGCTGCTACTCCACACCTGGGATCCACCCACGGCTGCTGGCGCACCTGGGTTGCGTGCCCGGGTCAGTCGGTGGATCTTTCCTGCCCAACCCCGCTTTGCTGCTGGCTCTGCCCCTCTTACCAGTTTGGCTGAAGGGTTTGTTGTTGTCAGACTTCCATGTAGTTCAATTTTCTGTGGTTTGGCTGCATTTTTGTTGCTAAAACTTTGTTGTTTTTAAACTTGGTTGTGCAAGAAGGTGCAGTGCTTCCACCTATGCCTCCGTCTTGGCGGAAGTCCAAAATCTCATAATGTTTTAAGTAAATTTATGATTTTGTGTTGGGCCACAGTCACAGTCATTCTGGGCTCTATGAAGCCCATGGGCAACAGGTTGGACTCCCCTGGTAGGCAGTTTAATGTAGTCAGCCACGCTAAAGCTAAGCCTTCCAGTTCTAAGGGTCCTTCTGCTTTTTAAGGTAGCTTTGCATCTCTCTGCTCTGATCAGTACAAGTGATTTAAAGTTGAATTCTTTGAGAGTAAATTTATTTCCCTGATTCCCAAGATTGTTGGGGGTTGGGAGGAGGGTATGCTTCATGGAAGCCCCTAAATATTGGCTGAGGGGTAACTGAAGTCCTGTAAAAAAACAGCTAGCCCATTGCTTTATGGGAGGCAGCTGTGAGAAGGCGGTAAGCAACAGCAGATGATCTTCTGAGAGCTTGATTCTGCGAATCCCTGTCTCACAGCTTCAAACTTCCTATTTTTCATATTTCTTAATCTATCAAGCCATTAGCAAGGATTGAATTTCCTGTGTGTATTTTTCAGTCTCACTTCCGAGTAATACTAAAAGTAACTCTTTCCCTTAAGGCATAACCCTGCAAAAGCCACATGTGCCAAATTCTCCAGGATTTCTTTTTTCATGATGGAAAATATTTTAAGCTAAGAGCATGACTGATGATAGAGAGGCAGGTTGTGTGGGAAAAATTATGGTAAGTATATCTATCAACCAGGGTCCCAGCAGGAGATGGAAACCGTTCGGGTGCTTCAACAGAAGATTGTTTTTAATCGAGGGGCTCTTGACAGAGGAGTGGGCCAGGTTATGGGGACCAATGAGACAGGTCGAGGCAGAGGCTACAGTGGTGGGAAACCATGATTAACCCCGGTGGGAAGGAGGGCCGAGAGAGCCCTGGGGTCAGGCAGAAGACACTCGCTCTCTGTGGTGGGAGGTGTAGCCTGTCAGGACGTTGCCACCCCCAGACTTGAGCACCAAAGCAGAAATAGAAGAAAAAATTTTTCTGCTTCCAGCCCTCCGGTGTGCCCCAGTGCCTCTAATTGGCCACATCCTAATCCAAGTCAGCTGAGGGAATCTCACAGCGCTCTCTGGGCACAGAGAAAGGCGGGAAGGTGGGGAAAGGATCTGAGGGCTCAAGTGAAGATTGGCCAGCTCACTCCCTGAAAGGATGTTTTGTTCTTTGAGAGAAGATAACATATCGAGGATGGTTTGGACAATGGTTAGCCCTGCTTCCTCAAGTTCAGCTATGAATGCTGTCAGGAGTCTGTCATTT